AGGTGCCCGGTCGCAGTCTTAAAGGACCGCGGCACCTAACCGGGCCCCTGTTTAGTAGTAATGTTTCCCTGGTGCTATAATCATAGCACCGGGGAGACATTCTGTGGCATGCCTGTCTGCCTGTCGCAGCGCCCCAGGGCACCACGGCACACACTTTGGGAACTTCTGGTCTAGATGCCTCATAAAAGTATTTTCTGTATTATGTGGTGATGCATCCATTCCACACACAAATCCTTTTTTTCCTCTGCTCTCTGGTAGTCCCTTCAATCTGGGCAAATGTTTGTTGTTTTCCCCTTGATTAGTGTAATGCTTTCTATATGTGTACACAAGAATTATATTACCATTTGTAAATTTTTTGCCTACCTCCCTATTTCTCTTTCTTCTATCCTATTTTGACTTCCCTTCTTTTTGCCTTCTTCCCAGATGCAGTGGAGGATGCAGGAGTAGAGGACCTGATTGGCGACCATGCTACTTTTCTAATGTTAGCATCAAACACACATGAGCACTGTAGTGATTTTTAAATGGGTCCTTCATTGAAAGTCATATCCCTTACTTTTAAGGGTCTAAACTCGACTGATGACAGGTGACTTCTATTGAGGGAACTTAAACTAGTGAAGGCCAACTTGGTCTTTATCCAAGAGATGCTTATTTCCAGAAATACTCCCTGTCAATAACAAGATTGTCTCTATACAAAGGTCTTCTCCTCCTATGCCCTTCCAAAACGAAATAAGGTCTCCATAAGAATTGCCCATTGACTATTCGTGATCAATTTTTGGATAACCAAGATAGTTCTAGTGCTTAGATGTTCAATTGCCTCTCTAAAACACACTCTTGGGTGTATATATGCACCAACATCCTGAAAAAGAGTTTTGGGCCGCCCTATCAGAGGCTGTTGAAAGATTTGTGGAGGACTCTGATATTCTAGGTGGTGACTTTAATGCGGTGCTCTGTCCCACAGCGGATCACTCCAATACTCGCCGAGCCACCATCCATTAGATCTAGGTTGTAGGGACAAACAATTCACCTCATTTGTTCAAGATGCTGGACTGCTGGATGCCTGGAGGACCAAATACCACTATCGGGGACTACACATTTTTCTCATTCCTTCACCATTCCTATTGCCACATTGACTACTTCTTCATTTCTGCCTCTAGTGTCCTCTTTACGTTACAGGTTTTATCTCCTGGTCAGACCATGCTCCTGGAGGTTGAATGCCCTTCTTGTGAACAATCTGGAGCTTGTGGAATTCATTCACTCTAAAATGACTAATTATTTTAAAGAGAATTTGACCCTGGAGTTTCCATTGTCAAGTATCTGGGCAGCCCACAAGGCTGTTATTCGAGACTCTATTATTAGACATGCCTCCCACTATAAAAAGCAATGAATGGCAGGCCTTCTTTCCCTCCAATACCAACTATGTAAAATCGAGTTCCAACACAAAACTTATCCTTCAGAGATGTCTAGTCAAGCCCTCCATCAGACTAGGCAGGAACTCAGAGTCCTCTTTATGGACGATGACAGCAGATCACTTATGAGAGCAAAGAATTTTTTTTAACAAGCCAAAAAGATAGACACACCTCTTTATGGAGGGTGTAGGCTATCCAGACAATTTAAACATCAAATGGCAATTTAGCATTCACACAGTTTTACTCAGAAATGTATCATCACACTCAATCCCACTGCTTGAGGGACCCTGTGCTTACTGGAATGAATCAGTCTTTCCTGGACCAGTTAGCCCTACATCAGTTGAAAGATGAACAGTTAGAGCATTTACCAGCCCCAATTACTTGGAGGTGGATCAGGCCATTTCTTCCATGAAACCTCATAAAGCTACACAATGGCCTATTAAAAGTTGCACTATTGAAGGCAACAGAAAATTGCATTAGGCTTGTCAGTAAAAGCAAAAAATTCAAGAAACCACTGTGGTACTCCGCAGATGTGGCCAAAATAGTTAAAAACAAAAAGTTAGCATTTAGGAATTATAAAAAAAACCAGAGTGAGGAAGACAAAATGATCTATAAGATTAGGCAGAAAGAGGCTAAGCAAGTTATAAGAGCTTCCAAATCACACACAGAAGAGAAAATAGCACAGTCAGTAAAAAAGGGGGACAAAACATTTTTAGATACATAAATGAGAAAAGAAAAGTAAAACAAGGATTAGTTAGATTAGAATATTTTTGTTCTGTATTTACAGATGAATATGAAGGAAAGAGACCTCAGTTGAGAAAAAGGATAAATGAGTCATTTATTACACGTGAGTTTACAGAGGAAGAGGTTCTAATTCAACTGTCAAAAGTAAAGACAAATAAGTCAATGGGACCTGATGGAATACAACCAAAGCTATTAAAAGAGCTTAGTGGTGTACTAGCAAAACCATTAACAGATTTATTTAACCAATCATTGTTAACAGGAGTAGTCCAAGAAGATTGGAAGTTAACAAAGTTGTACCCATTTACAAGAAAGGTAATAGGGAGGAGTTGGGCAACTATAGGCCAGAAAGCCTTACTTCAGTAGTGGGGAAAGTGATGGAAACCATGTTAAAGGATAGGATTGTTGAACATCTAAAAACACATGGATTTCAAGATCAGAGACAACATGGGTTTACTTCAGGGAGATCATGCCAAACTAATCTTATTGATTTTTTTGATTTTGTAACTAAAATTATAGATCAGGGTGGTGCAGTAGACATTGCTTACCTAGATTTCAGTAAGGCTTTTGACACTGTTGCACATAGAAGGCTTATCAATAAACTGCAATCTTTAAGTTTGGATTCCAATATTGTTGAATGGGTAAGGTAGTGGCTGAGTGACAGGCAACAGAGGGTTGTAGTTAATGGAATATATTTGAAGCTTGGACTTGTCACCAGTGGGGTACCTCAGGGATCTGTACTTGAACCCATTCTCTTTAATATTTTTATTAATGATATTGCAGAAGGTCTTGATGGTAAGGTATGTATTTTTGCTGATGATACTAAGATATGTAACAGGGTTGATGTTCCAGGAGGGATAAGCCAAATGGCAAATGATTTAGGTAAACTAGAAAAATGGTCAGAATTGTGGCAACTTACATTTAATGTGGATAAGTGCAAGATAATGCATCTTGGACATAAAAACCCAAGGACAGAGTACAGAATATTTGATAGAGTCCTAACCTCAACATATGAGGAAAGGGATTTAGGGGTGATTATTTCTGATGACTTAAAGGTAGGCAGACAATGTAATAGAGCAGCAGGAAATGCTAGCAGAATGCTTGTTCTGTGCCATTGTACAGAACACTGGTGAGACCTCACTTGGAGTATTGTACACAGTACTGGAGACCGTATCTTCAGAAGGATATTGATACCTTAGAGAGGGTTCAGAGAAGGGCTACTAAACTGGTTCATGGATTGCGGGATAAAACTTACCAGGAAAGGTTAAAGGATCTTAACATGTATAGCTTGGAGGAAAGACGAGACAGGGGGGATATGATAGAAACATTTAAATATATAAAGGAATCAACACAGTAAAGGAGGAGACTATATTTAAAAGAAGAAAAACTACCACAACAAGAGGACATAGTCTTAAATTAGAGGGACAAAGGTTTAAAAATAATATCAGGAAGAACTGAGAGGGTAGTGGATGCATGGAATAGCCTTCCAGCTGAAGTGGTAGAGGTTAACACAGTAAAGAAATTTAAGCATGTGTGGGATAGGCATAAGGCTATCCTAACTATAAGATAAGGCCAGGGACTAATGAAAGCTTTTAGAAAATTGGGCAGACTAGATGGGCCGAATGGTTCTTATCTGCCGTCACATTCTATGTTTCTATGTTTCTATTGCAAAACATTCTTACAGGAACTGATTCCCCAGCTCCAGACTTTGTTTCAATCTGTTCGGGAAGGTGGCTCTGTTCCAGCGGATTCACTCCTGGCGAACATCATCTTAACAAACTGGGTAAACCCCAGATTCTCCTGGCAGTTATAGACCCATTTCCCTCATCAACATCGATGCTAAGATTTTTGCTAAATTCCTGGTCCTCCACCTTAATTTGGTACTACTGTACATCACCCAACAGCTGCCGCTGTTCCCAAAGGATTGACATAGCCTTTACCTCCACCAAAGAAACGTTATATGGACCCTCCTATATACTGAATATCTGGATATCTGAGGAAATGAGACTATTGAAACCAAGAGGTACCATAGGCTGCACCGGGGAACTTAGCCCATATAGCGGCTTACAAGCTCTTTTGCACAATTTAGGAGTACTTCTAATTGTGCCACTTTTATGAGTGTGATGTTAACTTTGTTATGATATTATTTGTTGTCAATAAATTACTATACTATGATTGTATTTTTTTCTTTTTCTCCCACTTATATGCATCTTTCATCCGAGTGGTAAATATTGTCACAATATTGTGTGATTGTGGCCCCCTATCTTTTATATATATCCTGTGTGATTATATATTGGACACTTTTGCATTTGGGGATTTGGGGAGTGATTCCTATATGGAGGCTTGCCTGCACATTCTGTTGCACTACTTTCAGTCTACCTGTTCTGTTTTCCTTGCGGATAACATAATACTCATCATCACCCAACAGGCCTCTTCACTTCATGCACTATTTTCGGTGCTTCATAACTTTTCATCCATCTCAGGTTAGAAAGTATATTTCAACAAATCTATTACCCTCTCATAAACGTTCCACAAGAAGATTTCAGACCTTCTATCTCCAGTTCACCCCCTCCGCAATCCATTTCTCCTCCTTTAATGTCTGTTCTTATTAGAACCTTGCTCCCACACTCACCCACCTCATGCTCCCACGCTGCATCTCTCTTGCTTTTCAGGAGGACACCATGTTGGAACGCGACCCCCCAGACAGCGAGGTCAGCTCAACCACCCACTCCGACCACTCACGTACATAGGAACGCCACCTCTATTCGTGTGAACGCCACTCACCAACAGAGAAGGCAGAACTCCGTTTGAGCAAACACCACTCACCAACACAGGAGGCAGAACTCCATTTGAATGGATGCCGGTTACCGAACACAGCAAGAACAGAAGTCTGTTCATGAGAACACCACTTACCGAACACAGCAATACAGAAGACAGAACTCCATTCGTACGGACGCCAGTTACCGAACACAGCAAGACAGAACTCTGTTTGTGAGAACGCCGCTGCTTCCATGTGTGACCACACAGGAGGTAGAGCATCAGGAGAATCAAAGGGCACGCGTGCGCCAAAAAAGAGCCCTTTAATGGTACAGGAGGTGGAGACCAGGGAGGAACCTCATAGACAAGGGTGCTAAACTCCTGGTACTCCACCTTAATTTGGGGGGGTGCACATTCTTATGCCTGTTTTACTCCACCATATGGGGTGTACACCCACAGACCTTTATTGGTGTATGTGTGGCTCTAGGGGTACATATGTACACATGTGGTGGACATGCCCACAATTTACTGTAATCTGGAAAGTGATTCACCAACTATGTGAGGTGGCCCTTTCGAACCCATCCTGATGGATCCATGCATTTTTCTTTTATCTAAACCAAGCAAAGCACTTAAGTCTTATGAAAATAAGTTACTGCTTAGGGTCACCCTTGACACCTGCAGAGCACTGGCTAAAATGTGGCTGCATGTATCCCCACCATTTCTCAAAACAGTCATCCTAAAAATGAAAGATAACATGCAGATGAATAAGCTCACTGTTTCTTTACATCACACTTACGCATCTTTCTACAAGGTGTGTAACCCATGGTTGGAGTACGACTCCTAAAGTACTCATGGTAGCTTGTTGGGAAGTGGGCGTCACCAACTTCTGCCTCCCCACCCCCCTTTTTTTCTATCCTTCTCCTTTCTACTGCCCACCTCTTTTTTTAATACCCCTCTGATATTTCCTCTAATTTTATTTTCATGTCTTTCATATTCTGTGAGGTATGACTATAATTGTTCAATTGGTCTTTGAAATGTCTCTATATATTTGTTTGTCATTGTCATACATACTGAATGTTATACAAATTGTATAAAAATGTATTTGCAGAATATACTTGAGCATTCAGATAGTTTCCATACTGGTGTTATCCTTTATGGAACTGCCACTTGTCTGTTTAACCTATGTCATTTATATCTATATTAGATGTCATTAATGCTTGTGCGGATTATTGTTATATTTCTATGACATTTTATGTAAATTAATTAAATAAATTGGCTATTTGTTTGTACTTTTTGTATGTAAGGGTTTTAACCAAAACCTGCAGAACTGCATATTTTGATAGAGCCAAGTTTTCTGAAAATACTTTTGGTAATGGAAATGTGCCAAAATCTATTTAGCATACTCGAACATGGAGGGGTTAAAATAACAACAGGGAGTATACAAAATCTTTTTACACAACAAATATTCCAAAATGAAATGTTGAAAAGCATATTTTCTTTATAAAATAAGCAGAAAAGGTAATTAAATTCAAGCTAACTAATTAGTGATTTACTAATTAGAGCAGAGGACGATAGAAAGTGTGTTACTCATCAAAAAAGATGAAATAGTAATATGTTCAAATCAAATGGGAACAATTTCTATAGAACTGTACACATTCTTCATATGGATTCGTTAGAAGCTCAAAGCTCACACTCCTGCCATAAAAACTAGAAACCAGCCATCGATTATTTCAATAAACACTAACCATCTGCCTATTTCATTTAATAATAACCATTTTCCATCCTACTATTAAACAAAAAACTTTCATCTATCACACCATTAACCATTAAACATTAGCCATTTTATTATTATACCATTCAGGACTAACCATCTACCTCTCATACCATTAAGCACTATCTTCCCACTATACTATTAAGCACTATACATTTGCCAGTCATACAATTGAACATTAACCCCCATAATATCATTACACACTAACCACCTACCACCATGTGATTAAACACTGATTATATACCCATTGTACAATTTCACCACAACCCTTTATCCAGGGCCATCCCAAGACATTGTGCTGCCTGGGTCCAAGGATGAAATGCTGCCCCCATCACCACCACCAAAACCATGCCACCAAAACATAGTGGGTTCCATGATATGGGAGTCATGAAAGCAGAGATTATGTAGTGAATGCAGTGTGTATTTGTGTTGTTGATGCAGTGTGTCTGTTTGTGTGCCGGGGATGCAGTGGGTCTGTGTGTGTGCTGGTGATGCACTGTGTATCCGTGTGTGACGGCAATTGGTCCATGTGCAGTATGCTGTGTGTTCACTGCAACCAAGCATGACACTTACCCTTGCTATATCCGTGGTGGTGTGATGTCTGGCTGAAGTGGAGCCTGCACCGACTCATAGTGGCTCCACTCCCACTGCTTGTCCAGTCTTGACTTCTGCCCTGCTCCCACAAGGACACAACCTGCTGTTCCAAGCTGGGAGACAGCTCAGCCACCCACAGCCCTGCCACAAAGTATATTGATGAGGTAAACCACTGAAGTTCCGGCACACGGAGTGAGTAATGTCAGAACCCACCCCAACTCAGCCTTCGGCTGCCGCACCCGCCTCTATCACACAATTCCACATTAACCATCTGCCAATCTAAATACTAACCATCTACCTGTCTAAACACTAACCATCTACCAATCTAAACACTAACCATCTACCAATCTGAACACTAACCATCTACCTATCTAATCAATAACTATCTACCAATCTGAACACTAACCATCTACCTATCTAAACACGAATTATCTACCAATATAAACACTGATTATCTGCCAATATAAAGACTAACCATCTATCTGTCTAAAAACTAACAATCTACCTGTCTAAACACTAATTATCTTACAGATATACTATTAAATAGCAACCAATAACAATCAATCTATAACTATTTGTATCAATAAATACTAATACATTTACCCATCATATCAATCCATACATAACTTCTACCAAATATAATATTCCCCACTACACTAGTTTTCACCCCCTTTTTTTCTCTCTTCCATGCTCTCTCTCTCTCCCTCCCTACACTGCCCTGGATAGATATTTGTCATCTAATTGAAATGGCTATAGTGTCTGAAGTCCCCCTAAATCATCCTACCACTCAGTGTCAGAGTTAAACTCTTTTAATGGTTTAATGCTAAACAACAGTCTCCAGCAGCCCATCTCCCCTGTTGTCCTTGTGCTAATGAAGCCTGAGCAGCAATCGGTGGTGGTGATTGGCTGATAGTGGTAATGATTGCCTGAGAGTACCAGCTTACCATTTTCATCCTATCATTACCGCTGATATGAATTGGTAGCTCCAGTGTGGGCACAGCTGTGGGCAGCTTTCTGTGTTAAACTCCTCAAAATGGTTTATTGAATGGAGGGACAGTGCCAGGAGACACAACGCATTATAATATTTTCCATGAGATGAAATGGTTATATTACCTACGGTGTTCCTTTAATTACTACCCATCATAAAATTCCTCACTAAACATCCACACATAATACCAAGCCACACTAGCTCTCTACATATCATGCTATTCCACGCTAGTATACTACTACCAGTGGTGTGCTAATCCGGCTGCAGGGAAAGTGGTCAGTCATAAGTGACAGGCGACGAGGTGTGCACAGGGCACCCCCATCTAGTCACAGCAGACACCTGTCTTCCGGCGAATTGCTGGAAGGGCTCTGATTGGCAGTTGCCTGCTCTGCCACTGAGGTTGAGTGTGGTGTAAGTAAATAAATTCAATAACATTAAAAGGGTGAGCATGAGAGAGAGAGAGAGAGAGAGAGAGAGAGAGAGAGAGAGAATGTGTGTGTGTGTGTGTGTGTGTGTCTATGTCTATGAATGTTTGTGTAACATGGGGAACAGCTTATTTTGAAATTCCAAGAAAGCTTAGAGCTCATAGCACCAGGAGGGAATGATTATTTTCCTATGTACAGTTCTCAGATGTGCAGAAGAGCTGGAAAAGCTATCTTTGCTACTATACCACCCGATTTTGACTCTGGACAATACATTTTAGAAAAAAGTAGTCATGCCCTGGAATAATCCCAATTTGAAACAATTGGAACAACAGGGCAATCCTGTAAAAAAAAAAAAAAAAAAAAACTGAGGCAGATGGGTGTTCCAAACTAATGTCACAACATGGTGAACAGAATTCCAAGGAAACAGCTTAAGAAAACACAGAATTGGATGCAACGTAAAATCCAGTAAGAACAAAAACGCACAACAACGTTTAAAGCTTTGTTTAAATGTCAATAAGATATAAAAATAAGGTATTAATAGATCCCTCTTCAATAGTGATATGTTTATTTTTTCTAGCTAATCTGCATGCAAAATGTGCTGAACTGAAAGAAACAAAATACTGCTCAATACAATCATTAATACAATTAAGAACATTTGATCAAAAATGCAAATTAAGAATTTTTTTTATGCCCCTGTTATTTAGCTGAAGGGTCTTTGATTGAGACCACTATTTCCTCTATTAATTTGTGTCAATGAACAGACACATGCACACATACTGATATACATGCAAATCAACACATACAAACATAGGCATTCATAACTAGACATGTATGCACCCTGCCACACAAACATGTGTCTTTATAACTAGTCACACACAAATAAACACATGCATTCATACCCACTCACACATCTATCCACCTGTACATATACATTCCTAGCCACACACTCATACCCTGTCAACACTTCCACCCACATACATAGATAACACCTGTGTAGATATATAACAGTGTCAGTGTGCCTCTAATAACAGGTACTCCTAGTATTTGAGGTCAAGGAACAGATCTCATATCCAGTTCACAACAGATGGAGTGTAGTTTCCGGGAAACAGGCAGGTCCCCAGGTTTGTTGTCAAGCTCTATTTGTTTGGTCTTTGTTTGGTTGATATGAGGTGACATGCAGTTCCAGGTTTGCCTAAACAAAAGCAGGTGGAAGCTTCCATTACTATGCACAAACTTAAGCATGCTTTATTTAGAAAAATGCAAATGGATGACCTCTTGAAATATAAGAAAAGGACATCTAAAATTGATACGGTTTCTTTAATTTTAAATAATTCAGGTCATAACAAAATAATTAAACAGTGATATAAACTAGAAAAAACATGATAGTCTTAATTTAATGTTGAAAGAAACCAAATATAGTAGTATATAGAGAGACTAAAAGTTTTAAGTCTCTGTTAGTTAAAAGTTATACCCGACACAAGGCACCGATATTCTTTTTAAACAAATAACAACCATATGGCTCTCTCTAGAAAACACATGTATATCCCCC